AAGTTCAAATCAATCCGGTGGCGGTGAGATAATGACAATAGATAGCAGGAAATAACGCCCGAACTGAACTAATCGCAAATGAATCATTTTCTATACTTTTGTTGCTCAAGTGAAAATAATATAAGGAAAGATACATTTTATCATCAAGATACAATAAATCATTTATTGTTGAATCATATCTAGAAATATTGTAGAATCATCTGAATTTATAGTGTATTTTCCTAGAATTGAACACAAGGGAAAAATTAGATCAGAAACCATCACTGCCTCCAGTAATTGCATTTGTTCGATTAGAAAAATTGAGAGTTTCGGGAAATTGATCAGAGATTGTGTATCACATAATAGATGTAATGTAATGTAATGAAAGTCAGAAACGCAATACTGACAGGGTCGGGGATCGCACCTCATATAAAAATGTCACATTGTTTTACAATGCCTAAAAGAAGAATAAGAAAAAGATTTACATCGATTTATATTCAAATTATTGAATCAAAAAGCTATGTTGAATATTATTGGTGGATTGCTCAAAAGTAGATCAATGTTTGAAAATGTGACTGGGGATATTTTAAGTATAGGTTGCACAAAAAACAACTGCTCTATTACATAGATACGATCCACATGTGAGTTATTAATATAAAAGGATTAGGATTGTATCATCTGATTGCCATTTGTATAAGTTACTATCAACAATCTTTAGATCTAATTTCGATCCAGTTTCTCTCATTTTGGGATCTATGAAAAATACGATCAAAATTGAGGATTGAAGAAAAAGTGTTTTATAGTAATTGGTCATCGTGAACGTGAACTAATTAAGCATTATAATCCTCAGAATCTGTCAAGCTATTATACCAGTGCTTCAGGCATTCTGAAACCTGGAGGAAAATGTTCTGATGGTCACATTTCGAAATGGGAAATAGGGTATAAAAGAGAGTAATTAGCAAGGAATAACTAAGCAGGCGTGTAGTCAACACTCTATAGAAATGCAAGGAATTCAGACAGTTCATTCAAATTTTTATGAGAAATAGCATAAAATAGGCGTGTCTTGGCGATAGTTTTATCAGGGGTGTGTTAGAATTAGCAAAATACATTCTCTTTTTCTAATAGCATTTATTGATTGCATGAAATTCATTCAGTCACATTAATCCTTCCTGGAATATCTCTAAAACTGTTGTGAAGATTATCAAAGAAAATAATGCAAAGGTTTCAATGAAATGTCATTTTCAGACTTACGATTGCATTTGTAAAGATTGCTCAAAGAAAATAATAGATTTATTTCCATGAATAATTCTGTTCAAAACACCTTGGAGTGTTATAACCTTACTATGTGAAGAAATGTCACGATGGTGTAAAAAAGATTGAAAGGCAAGCATGAAATGAATTGATTGGCCATTAAGCCCAAACCTAAGTGATAATACATGGATTTTCTATAAAAATACAATTTGGCTCATTTTTATAGAAAAAACTTTTGAAAACCATGACAACGGGGAAATAGTTTTGATTGGATGCAGTACGGAAACTAGGCTCAGAGCCACTAGATCACCAACATCAAAGTATCAAAGTCTCTTTTGTAATGTTTATCAATGAAAACATTTTTTCATTACCCATCCAAATATTTCCCTTTCTGTTATCTTAATTCGACTGGTCTAGATGCACTTGAAATAAACCAATGAGTTTTCTGAATGAATTTGATCGTTGAGGATCATCCACGTTTTTTCAATTTTCATTTTTTGTTTGCTTATTTCTCATTTTTGATATGGAAATTATATGATATTTGATGTTTTGGTCTTTATTGGCAATTATTGCCAATCAACGATAATGCATACCAACCAATCAAGAAAAATAAGAATGCTCAGAAACTTGCACTTTTCCATAGAGTACCTCTTACAAACATCAGAATGAAAATGAAAAAAAATTGACCAAATTGAAGATGTTATTTGCATGATAATCTTGGAATGCATTTTCTCGTTAGTTCATACACATGTATAATTTACATTTAGTAAATAAGCTCAGAGGGAATACAGAAAATGCACTGAATGATGTTTTGTGCCAGATTAGCAAAAAATCAATGTAGCTCACGTTCAATAATGTATAAGTTGGCGTATTGTGGTCTAGTGGCGTCCAATTAAGCAAGTTAATGTGCCTCTCTTTGGTGGCTGATGCATCAGTCGTACTCCGGCAATCTTGGAGTTCACAAGGACTCAAGTTAAATTGGGTATAATTTCAGAAAATGATAGAATACGAAGGATTAATAACAATATTTGGAATGAATGGAATATTGCAAAAGAAAATATGGACCTTTTATATTAGTACCATTCTATTGAATTCAAAAACAGTGTATAAAGGATCGGAATTGCTAAAATTGAATTAACTTCATGAAATTCCTCAACAGTGAAATTATCTCGGGAACTGTCAAAGATTTGAAAAGAATAATATCATTTATCATATGATATAATATTGTTACAATTTGGGTTAAAAGCAATTTAGGATATTGCCAGACAGTAATTTGAAGCATCTCACATCAGTTAACAAAAATTGACTATTGGTTACCCTTGAGAAAAATGTCTTGGTGGTTATGTTTTAAAACGGTAAAAAGAATCAAAAAGAGTGGAATAAGCAAGGAATTAGATAAACAGACATGTTGTCAACACTCTAAATTGTATGGAAATTCAAGAAAATGAGACACTTTATTCAAATTTTTTTGAGAAAATGTGTGGCAAAAGCAGAATAAAATGAATGGGTAAATACGGGTGATTCTTATTGGCTATATGGATATACAATAACATACTGATAGATAGGCATGCCGTATATACCAGTATAGATAGTAGACTCCAATAGAAGAGTAATATAATATTCCATAGAACGGAAAACATGTAAAAAATTGAATGTTCATCATGAGGAGATCATGTATATTTATCTGACACGTCAATAGGTTATTGATGTACACAAGCACAGAATTGAGAAGTGTTCGTGTTACCTGATCAAAAATAATCATCGCTGGCATTGTTTTTCTATAAAAATAGAGATTGAAAGGAAGAATTGAGAAAAAACAAGGAATAAAGAAAACACATGCGAGATGAATTTATACAAAAAGTCAAAAAATGTTTTCTCGTTATAGAGAAAATCCTGATATTAGGATAAAAATTGGAGACTTTTTGGATGGTCAAATAATGCAATTCAATACTCAGTATGTTTACAAAGTCATTGAGCTACTACAAGGAAAACGCCTGTCATAAAAACATCATTTCTCTTCAAATAGACATTGGGAATTGAAAGAATCATCATATTACAATATTGTCATACGATACAGTACAGATAATTGAATTATTCCGATAACTTTTGTATAAGAATTTTCATTTTTGCCCAAGGGGGTGATAGATCCTAATACATGTCAAGCACCTATGTAATAAGTTTAAAAATGTGTCAGTGTCAGTCGGAGGATGAAATTTAGAGACTTCAGAGAAATCACCATTAGAGCTAGTGCATTATAGAGCCTCTTAAAGAATTACATTTTTAGGCGGACTTAAAATAACGACCTGTTAAGTCATAACAAGGTTTCAAAGATATTCCGGATAATTTGCTTTAGTTTGTAAAATCTGGCGCCTAAGTAAAAAACTGAAGTAGGAATTTTCATTTCAACGAATTTCATCAAAGGATCGTCGAAGTTAATTTGCACGTAGAGAAAACACAAGGGAAAAGAACAGCCTACATTTGATGCATGGATACTTTATCTTTGTGTTATTGCGATGAGCTACGATATTGTTTCATAGAAATTCTGGTAGCGCCGGATTTATCTAGCCTGCACAAAATATCATATCTAATCATTTATATTTCATACATCTTCTCTATAAACTATGAACAATAACTTGGTTTTCTTACATTTCTGTGTAATATGAGATAAACTGGTATATAGTTTAAAATAAGATTAAATGAATATCTTGGTAACTTATCCACACCATAACACCACACCAAGATTTTAATGCGCTGGCCAATTTTGTCAAATTCAAATTTTTGAATTTTAAAACCTAATCATCATGATAATTTTTTCATTGGTATAACCACTTTATTCCTTGCAAATTCCTCTAATTTTGAGAAACTTTGCGAGGGAAGCATAACCATCATGACATTTTATTCACAGAAGGATTCATTTAATTGCTTAGAGATGATTAAAGAGACAGTAGGATAGGATTGATATATTAAAAGAAATACTGGTCAATATTAACAGAAACAAACTAGGACATACATTTGTAGGATTTACACAGTGATTAATTAAAAATATTGGATTCAACGGCTCTGAAAAACAAAATGAAGAAGTTTTACCCAAACTTGAAGGTAGTGTGAATATGATATTATGTTATGATACTATTGTGAATTATGTTAAGATATATGAATGTGTTGTTGTTTTATTGTGAATTATCTTGTAATGTGATAAAAATGTTTTTATTAGCAGGGCAGATTACATAGAGGATTACATAGTAGCCAGAACAGAACAAGTCATACACCTCTTTTTTCCTGATAAGAGGTGATTGATTTGTTCTGTCCCAGCTACTAGTCATATTGTTCTGTTTTGCTTCTTTGTCTTGTATTTTTAGCATACTTTTCAATGGTTTAATTTCACTTCTACAAAAGAGTGTTTTATCAGTAGTAGTAGTAGCACAAGGAGTTACTATGCTCTCATTAATGGGTCAAAGAAGGCCCGTAGCCAGGATTTGCCAAGTTCAGTTTTAAAAAATTCCCAGGGGGTTTACATTTGACAATTTTGGTCCAAATATGGCTAAAATCACTTGAGAAGCGCTCAAAATGGTGAAAACCTGCATGATTTTGAAAGAATTTTTTGGCCAGGGGGTGGGGGTTCGCCCAAACCCTGCGAACCCCCCTGGCTACAGGCCTGTGTCAAAGGTTCAAACTCTTTTTTACATATGTATCTTATAAATCAATTTTGACATGTACTTATACAGGTGTATTTTTGTGTTAATAAAGTTATGTTTTTTGGTGTTTTTCAGGTGATGACTCCACAGCGAGTGGGTAATGTGTATATGTATCAGCAAAGAGGCACTCAAGATTATGATGTGCCCCCTGTACGCAACACACCAGATAGAGCGCCACCTTTAACGAGTCCCCAGAACTATGATACACCCCCAGGTTCGCGGGGCACATCTGTGGTTGCTGGAGATATGTATGATACCTTACCAGGAAAAAATGCTACTTATAAAACAATTTCTGAATATGATACTTACGATACCCCCCAGCATGGTAGTGTCCCCCAGGTCACTAATACTGACTATGATGTACCACAACCACAAGTTCTGTCGAATAGATCGAGTACAATCTCTATGCTGTCAACTGGCTCTGGGGGGACACTCTCAAGTAGTGCGTCAAACCTGAGCATCCCAGGGGGGTCAGCCAGATCAAGTTCCGAAATGTCAAACCCGGATATTTACGACGTTCCTCGGGGCAGCAGTAATCGTGCATCCAGGGATTCCCTATTGGAAATTTATGATACCCCCCCTGCTGCCAGGATCAGGCAAGGGACCCCATCAAGCACAAACTCCAGGGGTGAGTCACAGGATTATGACACCCCAGTGGCATCAAGATCTATACACCAGGATGATGGGGACCAGGATTATGATACCCCCAGGAGCTCAAGCAGGCTGGCAGAGTCCACAGATTCTGCTATATATGACACACCTCCAAGTCGACGAAAAATGTTGAACACTTCATTGGACATATATGACACACCCCCAGGATCAAAATCCAGTTCGCTCATCGAGTCAGATTATGACGTCCCAATGAGCTCAAAATCTACATCAATTGCATCATCAAAAAATTCTTCAATTTTGGAGGATGAAAAACGCAGGAGTAATCTTTCCTCATCATTGGACAGTGAAGCAGATTATGACGTGCCTAAAAGTCACCATGCAGTGTGTCGTGACACAAGTAAACTGAGTCGTGACACAAGTAAACTGAGTCGTGATGCAAGTATAATGAGTTGTGACGATAGTATTGTCAGTGTTGACTCACAGGGAATGGACGATTATGATGTGCCTCCTACGCCAAAAGTGATCGATCCTTCTGAAGGTGCTCTACACCAATCACGTTCCAGCATTGAACATGTGATTGAAGATGATGATTACGACGTGCCTACTAAAAATACACCAATAAAAGGTGCTCTGGATGAGACAGATGGAACTCTTAAACGATCTAAACTACAGGAAAGTGATTTAGACAGTATTTACGATGTCCCTCCCCAGGTAACAAAGGACGAAAATGTCTCCAAAAAGGACCTGAATCAAAGCCTGGACAAACTTGCCTCAATAAGTCTTGATGATCACATGACTGACATTCCTTATAAGGCATTACCGTTAGAATTAAATGCTGCTATGGATATGTTAGTCAAGCGTCAACAAAATGCACAATCTTCCCTTGCTTTTCTCCTCGCATTTAAACCAGAAACTTGGGAAAACCAGGAAAATCTGGCACACAAAACATACGATGTGAAAATTGCCTGTAAGAATATACAAAAGACATTGAGAGAATTTACAGAATTTTCAGAAGGTACAGTAGCCAACTCCCGTCGTGCTGCCGACAAAACATTACCCATAAGGCTTCAGCAACAGCTGTTACCCATTCAAGATTCGCTCACTATTGTTGATAAACTGATTAAACATGCAGATGAATTAGATTGGCAAGCGGCTAAATTATGTGATAATAAAGACCTTAAGGAACTTCTAACGCTATGCAAAACCTTACCAGACAATATTCATACACTAGAGACATCTATCCAAGGAAATGGTGTTCTCTTATTTAAGCGTGCTAAAAAAATAGAGGACGAAAGAAGATCCATGGAGGGTCGTCCATTACCACCAACTCCACCTAGTGTCAAAAATGGGAAACCACCACCGACTAAACCCAAACCAAAATTGAACAGATCCAGAACCCCTGAAAGAGTAAGCAGGGATGGAAGAACTACACCTAATGCCACACATAATTCATCATTCCACGCGTCACAAAGTGACTTGGCAGATGATAACAAAAACAATCCTAATAATGCTAATAAAAATTGGAAAGACAGTGAAGACTATGTAAGCCTTGATACAAGTAAAAACAATGTTGGCCCACATACACCCAATCGTGACAATGGTAGAGAAAAAATTCTATCGGAACATGGTGATCGCACGGGTAAAGTCATTCCTAGTACCCCACCTGCATTGATAAACACTGAGGGGGATGGGTTAGGTTTAACACCAAAGTTTAAGGAACGCATGGATAAACTTCTGAAGGACTCGCAAAAGCCTGTTAAAACCCACATGGAAGTTCTTCCCGATAGTATTAACACAAGCACGCATAGTCATAACACAGATAGTCAAATCAAAATAGATAGTCAAATTACACGAGAGTCACTTCATGATAATGACAAACAAATACTCGAGTTCTACTCGGGTCAGATGGAAACTCACTCAAGTCTACTCACGAATGCTATTGACGCATTCCTAAGCTGTTGTGAATATAATCAACCCCCGAAAGTTTTCATCGCACATAGCAAATTTGTTGTGCTCGCTGCCCATAAACTTGTTTATATTGGTGATACTTTACATAGGAATCTGTTGCATCAGGATTGTAGTGCACGAATTATGGGACTTGCCAATAAATTATGTGAATGTTTGAAACTGACTGTTACAACAACGAAAAATGCAGCATTAAATTACCCATCTATCGAAGCATCACAACAGATGGTGGACAGTGTCGTCGGAGTGTCCCACGCGGCTGAGAATTTGAAGATGGGCATCATTAATCTATAGTCATGTAGAGTATATATGAAAATAGTCTTGCTGATCACCCCCCCCCCAACACTTCTCCATCCTCTTCAAATGTTTGCCAACTCGAAGTTTGTTTCAGATAATTAAAGCTCGTTTCAGTTGCAATAGGTTGGAAATGAATGAATTTGTAGTATTTTTAAAATCCCAAACATGAACCGGCTTTAATATGGGCTCTAAAAGGGAATACCCGATCACCATAGTTTTGAAAGGAGTGTACTTCCTTACCCAGAAGCAGGTCCATAGCCCCCCCCCCTGGCAAAAGCTGGCTGCATGCCTGGAAGGTGACGGGGATATACTAGGGTTCAGTGCAAGACTATTACGAAAATATCTATTAGAAAGATTTCACTCTGTAATTGCATATTTCACTATTGTTTTGTTAACAGTTTGAGTGAAATGCCTTATATTTTTTATTAATGATAATGTACAAATACGCATTTTGACCCATTAATAAATACATCCAATCAATACATATAATACATGGAGATGAGAATACATCCATTAAGCTCTCTCTATTATAATATTGATCATACGATGTACTGGTGCTGTGATGATACATAAAAAGTGTATTATTATTATTATTGAAAAATGCCATTATTCTGTTTCGCTCCACTTTCCAATTTTCTCTGGACATAATGTGTTTTTTTCATGTCAGATTGGAAGAAAATTGAAAAAACATGCTAATAACTTCCTAGATTACATAAAATATAAAATTATTATTATATAAAAATTACAAAATTTGGTATCAGATTTTTAACATCATGTACTGATGTGGAATAACATTACACGAGTGAAATATTTCATAGTGGATAAATGTTATATCTGTTATTAGAGTTTTTATGTTACACAGTGGTATAGTACTTTTATGGAGTATTAGCCATTTTTTGTTAGAATTGATTTATGTGAATTTTATACTAAAATATTAGTGATGGCACAATCTGGCATCATATGTAAATAATGTTACAATATATTGTATTATATTTATAGAGTATTGTAAAGCTTATATTATTGTCAGCATTTCTCGCTGAACTGTTTATGAGTGTATTTACTTGGTAGGTATGGTTTGAGATTGTACTTGTACAATATGTTAATGTTCAGAGTTGTAATATTGTAAATATTGTAGCTTTTTATAACAGGTTTTATATAATTATGACATCACATGGGAGTATTTCCCTATGTTAAGACAATGTTGGAACCTGTGAGAAAATTCCAAAATGGTCATGCTTGAGTATGGGAAAAAGAGAGGAAACTCCAAGGAATGTTCTCCAAGGAAGAACACTCGTAATTGAAATTGGGCAATCTGTTCAAATTTTATACCTGCATCATAGCTCATAATGTAATGCAATGAATTACTCTTGGGCCAAGGATGTACCTGCATGACCAACTTGGGAGTTTTTCTCAGGATTATAACACAAGAGACAAAGCATGTTTACATAAAATAATTTTGATTTTGAATCCTATCTCTGTTAACCACCAGAAACTTTATTTGTTAGATGTTAACATTAGATACGGTTTTACTGTAGAAATACAGTATATATGTACCTATTAAATGTTTATTTGAAACACAGAGTTATTAAGTGTTAGGACTAGTGTGAAAAATTCACTCATCTCTGGTTTGAATCAAACCCATAAATGAAAAATAATTTTCAACTTTAAAGTTTTACTTTTGTACATGTTTAATAATTACATTTTAGTTTACTTCTTGGCAATTTACCAGTTACCATTTTAGTTCACTTCTTTTTAGTTTATTTTATATCTTTAAGAACAGCTGTAATTATTAAGAAATCAGTAATGTAATCCTAAATGACAGAAGTATAAATGATTGCAATTCTACATGACTTTCTAAAGTGATTATAATCGTTGGAATTATTAGATAGGACTTGAATTCTGCAATTGCGTCGTTGAAAATCTTGTCACATTTTGAAGCACCAGTTATTGCACAGCCCCAGGGAAGTCAAATTGATATTTGGGAATCCATTATCTTCATGGGACCTTTTGACCTCTTTTTCTCGTGGCACATGCCTAGGACTGTCATAGTAACACTGAGCATGTTGTTTTACATTGCTGGAGATTTCCCTAAGGATCATTCGATTATTACTTTAAGACCCAATTTTATCCAACATTTCAATTTTATTTCGCCGCTGTCAATTTAGTTATTGGCTTTTCGTAAAATGTCATTTCAATATATTACAATGGTGACATTTTTGAAAAAACTCTTTTTATGTCAGATTCTCCCTTTAACTATGTATATGGTTCTTGTCAATTTCTCTCTGTTCCATGGAAATGATGACTACATTGTCTGGTATTCCAAAACATACTAGAGGTCATGTTAAATAGTGAATGGAGCATAGTGGAATTCAATTTGCAAGGAATAAAGTAAACAGTAGGGTGGCACATGTCCTTTCGAATTGACCTTGAAACATTTGTTCAACATTTAGAATCATGTTTATATGTTGCGTTATATTAATCTAATTGATTGACAAGATGTCATGTTTTAAGAGTTGGGTCACTGTGACCACCAACTGGTCAAATGCTAATGTAAAATGTCACTTTCATGCTTAAAATAAAAAATATGGTCATGTGAATGAACTTTTCATTTTTCCGGCATTCTTTAGTATTTTGCGGTCATTTTGAAAAAGACTATGTCCCCTATTCAACATTAATGACTGGACATTTCTGCGTCTGAAATCTACAGTTACCACCTCATTTGATCAATTTCCTCAAATTTTTCCATAATGTTTTACACTTTACATCATTTGCTGCCACTTTAATATGGCAACTATGAATTCTAGATACTTTGCTGCCACTTTAATATGGAAACTATGAATTCTAAATAGTGCCATATAAAGTGGATAGAAGAGGACTTATCATGCATTACCAGCAGGGTAGTGTCATTTATAATATAAGAGTGTACCAATTTACCTGACGGAAAAATGCTCTGCTTTTTTCAAGTAAAACTTAGACGAGATGCCTCATTCTGGAATATTTCTATGCAATATATATCTTTGAATATTTGACCAAATGGCTGTTAACTGTATTCCTTGCTGATTTCACCGATTTCCACATTATTGCCCGAATTAGAATGTGATCTTTTTTTCTCATGCGCAGGTTTATGAGGACATAAACCAACTACTGCACCGTGATTCCTAATCAAACTTCGATTTCCTGCTGGTATTTTCACACAAACCAGAATTACATCTGTCATAGCTGGAATATTTTATCGATGTTTTTTAAGTCACAGATAATTTTAGTCATTTAGAAGCCGAAATTGAAGATTTGTGGCAATTTTGCATTTGTTTTTACATTTGGAAGTATTCCATACTGTTACAGATTGCAAAGGCTGATGAATGTAATTGGACTCGAAATGATTGTGAAGGAGTCTCTATTATAGCATCCCTGTCTCACCATTGTACAGGGTGTCCCCAAAGTCTCTTTACAAGGGTTAGAGAGTTTGTATTGTATTGTAATGGTCAAGGACTTTATGGACACCCTGTAAGTCAGTATTTGACAAGCTGTACAGTGCATGTATAATACATATATTTTTAATTGAGACCGATAACATAAAAACTCTGGCCTGGTGAAATCGTAGGATTTGAGTCACAATTCCTCATAAACTTTAGCTCTGGATTCAGAGATTTGAACTTCTTGATAACTCAGAATGAAGGATATATGTTACAGAATTCTTCTTTAAAATGACAAATGGTGTTCACTGTTTAATCTCCACGAAATATGTATGAAAATGTTCATAAAGGTACTTAAATATTATCAAAATGAACTTGAAATAGGTTGAAAATATCAAAAATTGGCAAAAAATGAGAATCCTCTTTTATTCAAGAGGTTAAAGGCCTCTTAAGACATTAACCTTGGATAATTGCGTGTAAGCAGTTCATGTGATCAACACTTAAACGCTTTAACATATACGCTTATTTTGCACAATGACAAACTTATTTAGGGTGCACTACGCTAACACAACTGTACTGACATTATCTGATTATGGTATACATATATTGCCATCTTTAGTCCACTTCTGTTAAAACTGTTTTATACCAACTATTAGACCATGGACTTCTATGAGGGGTTGATTCGATGAGACCAGATCATGTGTTAGGAGTTACACCACCTACGAGACCATGGTCTTATATGAGGAAGTTAAACCATTTATAATTCACTGGTCTTATACTATGAGGCTAGGCAATGTTTTTATTATTCTGTATAGTGTGTTTCTCCTGGTCTAGAGTAGAAATCTTTGACGTGATTATTTAATTTGAATGTAAATGTATCTTGCGGACTGCAGGCTATTTAAGAATGCTAGAATTGTATGATAACACATCTACCCATATATGTAAATAATGTACATTAGAGGAATCTTATGAATTACAAGCAATAAATTCCATAACTTACATAATAAAAAGAAGATTTTGTTTAATTTCTGTAAGAGCCAATTGATATGATATTTACATTGATATTTTGACATGGTCTGCAAAAACTGAAATATCAAGGCATTGACAGGCAAAATGTCACTACCTGCCATTTGTTACAGATGCCATCCACCACCTGCCATTTATTACAGATGCCAACTGCCACCTGCCATTTGTTATAGATGTCAAACACCAACAACCATCCACAAAAAAGTTGGGGAGATTATAACAATATGTCACCACTCCTGGTGGTGAAACTAAAACACAAATATAAACACAGTGTGTATCTAATTATCAATCTGATAATATTTATTATTCCTACCAAAAATACAATACAGAAATAGAATTGGAAATTCATGAAAAATTGGATACGTTGACCAATTTTGGTCATTCTTTGATTTTGTCATGAGAATTTGTAAATTGTGCAAACACACGCTGAACATTATTCAAAAATGTCTCCTTTGAATGCATTTTCAAAGCATTTTGAGTAAAGGTTCAATTAATATCCATCTGTGTTTCTCCTGTGTCTGGCTCCGTGCTGCCACCTTTATTGCATCGTTGGATAATATTTCCAATAATGTTCTTAAAAGCATGTGTTGCTGGAGAATCGGGGACTTCCGTAAGGAATGATTTCCCTTCATCACAACACTGTCCTAGTCTTGGGTCAAGCGGGAGCTTCCCGAGAAAATCAACCCCACTGTCAGCCGCCATTTTTTCAGCACCTCCAGTTGTTGGGGGAAACAACAAACTTTCCTTTTTGCAATTTTTACATACAAATCCACTCATATTTTCAACCACTCCCAAAATTGGCATGTTTACTTTTCGACAAAAGCTGATTTCTTTGCGTACATCAAGTAATGCTACTTCCTGTGGTGTTGTGATGATGACAGCGCCATCTATGTTAGCTTTGGAGAGATACTGTGCAATGGAGAGGTGTTCGTCAGAGGTTCCTGGGGGTGTGTCAATGAGCAAGTAATCGATTTCTCCCCAGTCTACATCACGGAGAAACTGTTTAATCAGGCCATTTTTCTTCGGACCACGCCATATGACTGCATCGTCTGGACTACCTGTAAGTACAGAAAATATTTATCGTGAATGAGATCAATCTTAAGTTATATTACCCTTTGCATTCGTTCAGCTTTGCTTCTCAAAAGAGAGCTTCATCTTCACTCTTTCAGTTTCCAATAAATCTCTGAACTCACTGCGCTAATCAGAGTTCGTCTTCTATATGGTCATTTTCTCTGACGTAATCGCATAATCATTGTGCACGCATTTAGCACTTGTTCCTTCCAGCTGGCTGATTGGTTGAGAATAGCTCAGCGCGGTAGGTGTGAAATGATTTATGACCCGAGCTGCCACAGGCATCGGTCATGGGGGCGGGGCTGCTAAACTGTAATATAGTCTATACTAGGCAGAGGGTAGTTTATAACTAGACTCTGTGCAAAGGGTAATGTTATATACACCTTGATATTGAAAACTTGTAATCATTCATGTAAGAACACACTCTTCTATGCATTTATAACTGTGTTAGTGTGAGGGAATTTGTGTGGAGGAAAGTTTTTAGTAAGACTGTCGTCAGTATCTGAAGTTTAACCAGAGCAATATTTGGTGAGAACTATAGTTATAAGTTATGACTGACCTGCCATCTAAAGTACAAGTCAGTAACTATTCGATTGATCATAGATAATCATATATCATATATATACTTATAGATTAGACCCCATCTTATTTACACAAATATCAAAGATGGAATTTTCCTTTCCCAAACTCCATTAACGAGATGGCTTTCACAAATAAAAGATTCACATGGAGAATATGTGCCAAAAACCTATAAACCACTTCAACCTTTTTCACGAATTTACGCAAATTCAACATGTCCGTGAATTTAATGTACTGTACCGTACCTAGCAGGAATCCTACAGACATGACCCCCAGGTTGTCCTCAACATACACAGGGGACCACCCTGATCCACTCTGATGGACCTCCTCCCCTTCTAGGCCCATGACCCTGGGGATCGAGGGGCCACAGATATCCACATCAAGTACCCCAACCTGTTTGGTATCATCACTCGCAAGACCATGTGCAAGGTGAGCTGTAAAAGTACTTTTTCCTGAAAGCAAATTTTTTGAAAATATTAACATTATGTTCATTCAAATGGATTTGATGCAATATCCAGCAAATAACTTGAATTAACTTTAAAGATCAAAATTTACTCGAAAAACATGAGTGCTGTGCCATTGGAAATTTCTTCATCTGCAAGCCTTATTTTATTTTTAATCTATTCTTTAAGATAACTACATATGTAGTTAGAATTCTGACAAAGCTTAATTTTTCCAACCCCATTCAACTGTTCAATAATCTTAACACCAAATTCTTAATCATGCGAGGCCCACTATCGTTTGTCTTGAAGTGATGTATTCAACAATAGAATCTGTAGAACCAACAACAATATTTCAAGGCCACATTCTATTTTACTCACCCACACCGCGACATGCTCAGGCCAGTAGCTAGGGTGAGGGATTCAGGATGTACGAGCGAACCCCCAAATAGTGTTTCAAAATCATGCAGTTTTCCCCGCTCTTAGCATTTTTCAAGTGACTTTAGGCCAAAATGGTCAATTGTGAAGCCCCTGGAATTTTTTAACAAGGCACAGACGTGAACAATATCGTACCTAAAACACAGCAGTGTGACAGTGAAGAATTTAGGACGGAAAATCCAAAATGGCCACCTTAAAATTTACCCAGAATGCCCAAAAACTAATCAGTTCTTAACTTTGATACTTAGAAACATCCCTGAAAATTTCAGATGAATCCATCAAATGGTTTGGCTGGAAACCTGTAGACAAGTCTTGAAAGTGAAGATTTTAGGACGGAAAATCCAAAATAGCCACCTTAAAATTAACCTGGAATGCCCAAAAACTAATCAGTTGTTAACTTTGATATGTAGAAACATCCCTGTAAATTTCAAATGAATCCGTCAAATGGTTTGGCTGGAAACCTGTAGACAAGTCTTGAAAGTGAAGATTTTAGGACGGAAAATCCAAAATGGCCACCTTAAATTTTACCCAGAATGCCAAAAAACTAATCAGTTTTTAACTTTGATACGTAGAAACATCCCTGAAAATTTCAGATGAATCCGTCAAATGGTTTGGCTAGAAACCTGTAGACAAGTCTTGAAAGTGAAGATTTTAGGACGGAAAATCCAAAATGGCCACCTTAAAATTTACCCAGAATGCCCAAAAACTAATCAGTTCTTAACTTTGATACGTAGAAACATTCCTGAAAATTTCAGATGAATCCGTCAAATGGTTTGGCTGGAAACCTGTAGACAAGTCTTGAAAGTGAGACGCCGCCCGCCCGCCCGCCGCCCGCCCGTCAAGCTGACGACAATATCCTACCTTTATTAGGTACGATAAAAAGTGAACCACCCTTGGCAAAAGCTGGCTTTGAGCATGTTGCTACATTAATTACCTACACCTCCCTTCCCAGAGAGGATCAATATTGTGTGCTTGACATGAGACAGCCTCTCTGCAATTTCATCAATGGCAGGATCAGGAGGTTTGGGGGTTGCACTTGCGCATATCTTCTGGTTAGGACATCCTCCGCAGGCATCAGCTTTACCCGCTTGTTCACTTCCTGTCCCTGGACAATGCTCTGGGGCATCAGTTGGAACAGTGTTGGAAGACATCGTAAATAAACCTAAACCACTTATTCCAGTATTTCTCAGCTTAGGATTTTATACTCTGATTGATAATGCCTTATCCAAAGCAATATCCAAATGAAAGAATCTTATGACGAACTATCCAATTCCTTCTTCAAGTTCAAACACAATGCAGACAAATTTAATGCAATTATTGGTTCATGCAGTATGTGCATGTGTTTTAAATTCTGATTTGGTGTGATATAGTACTAGCAATATTGCTTTGTAATGCTGAGCTTTGACCTCTTAGTAAAATAGTTAATCAATAACTAACTATAATGCTATATGACATCTATCTGTACACTGTGAGCTTATTGTGCTATTAATGTTTTTTTCTTATGCTTTTGCTTTTGAGTAGTGTACTATGTGAGTCTCCACACTTTGAGTCTTTACACTTTGAGTCTGTACACTGTAAACTTACTGTGCTAAATATGTATTTTTCTATCCTTTCGCATTGAGTAGTGTACTCTGTGAGTTGTATACACTTTGAGTCTGTACACTGTGAACTTACTGTGCTATATATGTATTTTTCTATCCTTTCGCTTTGAGTACTGTACTCTCTGAGTCTTTACACTTTGAGTCTGTACTCTGTAAGTTTATTAAGTATTTTTTCCTACTTTCTCTTTGAGTAGTCTTCTCTGTGAGTCTTCACACTTTGGGTCTGTACACTGAGCTTACTGTGCTATAATGTATTTTTTCAATAGTTTCACTTTGAGTAGTGTACTCTGTGAGTCTTTACACTTTGAGTCTGTACACTATGTACTGCACTATAAAGTCACTTTATTCACACTGTGAGTTTACAGTATGCTTAACAATTCTGGGTTTTATTCCTTTAGCTTATACTTTGAGTAATTCACTACCTTTAAGTGTTTTACAAAGTAGCAAGAATACGTGTGAATGAGAGTAACATTACAATGATGGTCTGACCAACTCCCCAAAGAAGTGCATAAAACGGTAGCATAGTAAATCCCGAGGCTCTATAGACACCAGCCACTGCGGCACCTGAAAAGATAAAACACAGAAGTGCATAAAATGGTAGCATTGTAAATCCTGAGACTCTATAGACACCAGCCACTGCGGCACCTGAAATGATAAAACATAGAACTGCATAAAATGGTAGCATAGTAAATCCTGAGGCTCTATAGACACCAGCCACTGCGGCACCTGAAATGATAAAACACAGAAGTGCATAAAATGGTAGTATAGTAAATCCCGAGGCTCTATAGACACCAGCCACTGCGGCACCTGAAATGATAAAACATAGAACTGCATAAAATGGTAGCATAGTAAATCCTGAGGCTCTATAGACACCAGCCACTGCGGCACCTGAAATGATAAAACACAGAAGTGCATAAAATGGTAGTATAGTAAATCCCGAGGCTCTATAGACACCAGCCACTGCGGCACCTGAAAAGATAAAACATAGAAGTGCATAAAATGGTAGTATAGTAAATCCCGAGGCTCTATAGACACAAGCCACTGCGGCACCTGAATGATAAAACATAGAAGTGCATAAAATGGTAGTATAGTAAATCCCGAGGCTCTATAGACACCAGCCACTGCAGCACCTGAAAAGATAAAACATAGAAGTGCATAAAATGGTAGTATAGTAAATCCCGAGGCTCTATAGACACAAGCCACTGCGGCACCTGAATGATAAAATATAGAACTGCATAAAATGGTAGCAATAGTAAATCCCGAGGCTCTATAGACACCAGCCACTGCGGCACCTGAAAAGATAAAATATAGAACTGCATAAAATGGTAGTATAGTAAATCCCGAGGCTCTATAGACACAAGCCACTGCGGCACCTGAATGATAAAACATAGAAGTGCATAAAATGGTAGTATAGTAAATCCCAAGGCTCTATAGACACCAGCCACTGCGGCACCTGAAATGATAAAACATAGAACTGCATAAAATGGTAGCAATAGTAAATCCCGAGGCTCTATAGACACCAGCCACTGCGGCACCTGAAAAGATAAAATATAGAACTGCATAAAATGGTAGCAATAGTAAATCCTGAGGCTCTATAGACACCAGCCACTGCGGCACCTGAAAAGATAAAATATAGAAGTGCATAAAATGGTAGCATAGTAAATCCCGAGGCTCTATAGACACCAGCCACTGCGGCACCTGAAAAGATAAAATATAGAACTGCATAAAATGGTAGCAATAGTAAATCCCGAGGCTCTATAGACACCAGCCATTGCGGCACCTGAAAAGATAAAATATAGAACTGCATAAAATGGTAGCAATAGTAAATCCTGAGGCTCTATAGACACCAGCCACTGCGGCACCTGAAAAGATAAAATATAGAACTGCATAAAATGGTAGCAATAGTAAATCCCGAGGCTCTATAGACACCAGCCACTGCGGCACCTGAAAAGATAAAATATAGAACTGCATAAAATGGTAGCAATAGTAAATCCCGAGGCTCTATAGACACCAGCCACTGCGGCACCTGAAAAGATAAAATATAGAACTGCATAAAATGGTAGCAATAGTAAATCCCGAGGCTCTGTAGACACCAGCCACTATGGCACCTGAAAAGATAAAACATAGAACTGCATAAAATGGTAGCATAGTAAATCCAGAGGCTCTGTAGACACCAGCCACTGCGGCACCTGAAAATATTAAACACAGAACTGCATAAAATCGTAGCATAGTAAATTAAGAGGCTATATAGACACCAGCCACTGCGGCACCTGAAAATATTAAACAGAGAAGTGCATAAAATGGTAGCACACTCTGGGTTTTGAAAGAGTTTTGAAAGCGCTCGTGAAGTCTTTTTGGCCAGAAATATGTACACTTGAGATCAAATACAGTACTAATGGTGAAATTGCATGTTACACTTTACAACTGTAACAGCTGTTACAACCTTAACATTTATTATCACTTACTTGTAATAGTTCCTCCAATCAAAGGTGAGAGAAATCCCATAATCAGAATCCCAATAGGAATAAAACGTCCAATTTTATGTTTGCGTAGTTTGTAAAATGCAATTGCTGCGGCCACAACATGTACAAGTATCGATGAAATCAGACTCCACAGGAAAACTTGATACCACATTTCTGAAATGAAAACGTATAAAGCTAATAGAGGAGTATAGCTTTGAATTCTACAATAACAACTTTGATTTCTACAGTTATCTTATTTAAATCATTTTCCATGAATAATCAACTTTTTCTCAAAAAAGTGGGGGCCAAATCTCCATTGAGGCAATGGTAAAATTCTTTCGAAGCTTAGTTTATTCGTTCAACAACCAAAATTTTCATGATTGATCACAATATGTACATTAACAGGATCATCCCATACAGGGTGAGCCAATAAAAACTGGAACATTTTTCTATTTATTCTATTCTCTTTACTTTTGCAGTTCAATCCGCAAAAATCAGATACTGGTAAAATGATTATTTGTGAAAATGTTTAAGATAAAAATATGTATGTATGATTAATTTTGGCTTGTCATGGTCATTACCTATATCCTGTGTGCGTCATGAAAAATTTCCAAATTTTCTCTGCTTGAGACATCATTGCTGAAAATACAGTATCTCATACCATACAATGTATGCCCTTCAAATTGTCTCAACACAATTTCCATCAATTAAAACATATGTAATTATCTCTAAGAGAAGCTCAACATGTCTCCCTTGGATAATATGACTTAACTGACTTCAGCTTTTTTCAAAACTGGCACAATATGTCTCAAAACCTGTCATTAAAGCCAAGCATGACTGTCAAATACAGCTCAGACTGATTGTTCAGGTGGGTGGAGGACATGTTCGGTAATTAAATGTTGAGCTTGTACATTCATATTTACAGAATGACAATGAATTGTTTTTCAATTTTCTAAAGTATTGAAGATAATACATGACTGACAAAAAAGTTACAATCGATGGAAAAATTTTCCAATTTTTTGACAACACAAGGGTTTCTTGAACTTGTCTGCCAACTACCTGAAAAATCAGTCTGAGCTGTATTTGACAGTCATTCATGGCTTAAATGACAGGTTTTGAAAAAGAGTTGACGTAGTGCCAACACTATTAATGTAATATTAAATGAATATGATAATAAATAAATAAATAATAATAATAAATAAGTTAAGCTATATTATTCAAGGTAGACATGTCTTGCTTCTCCTGGAGATAACTACATATAGTTTTAATTGATGGAAATTGTGTTAAGACCATTTGAAGGGTACATATTGTAAGGTATTTTATTTTCAGCAGTGATGTCTCAAGCAGAGAAAATTTGGAAATTTTTCTTGACGCACGCAGTATACAGATCATGACCATGACAAGCCAAAATTAATCATACATACATACTTTAATCTTTAACATTTTCACAAATAATCATTTTACCAGTATCTGAATTTTTGCAGATTGAACTGCAAAAGTAAAGAGAAAAGAATAAATAGAAAAATGTTCCAGTTTTTATTGGCCCACCGTGTAGTGCCATTTGAGATGTAAACAGGTTCAACCGACACTTTTCGATAAATCATGAAATTAAGAATATCGCAAGTACAATGTATTTACCATAATTGAAGCATTAGCAGTCTGGCCCCAATGGAAACAAAAACAAGTGCTGATATCTTTTTATTCAGCTATATAGCAACTCCCTTATTAATGAACCTGTTTTGATGAAATATTAAGGCATGAAAAAATTGCTCACCAAGTTTGTAGTAGTACTAAACATTGAACTCAAAGAAGGTTTTATGAAAATTGATTCAATAAATCAATGAACTTTACATCTGCTATGTTATTTGACCCAAATTAGCCACCTGGTGGTGGAACTGTAACTACATGTAAATACTGGGACCTTGGTAACAGCTTCAATGCTGGGGAGATCAATATACATAGATGCGTTTACTGAAACTTAGCATGGAAACTCACCAATAAAAAAATTAAGAGGATCCTTGGGTGTTAACCCTATAACATTGGGGAATGAATCCACTTCAGCTGCAATAAAATCATCACGGCTCATCCTGGAGAGTTATGAAGGATTTTCATCTTGGGAAGTTACGATCAAACAGCTGGGCAGTTTTTAATTGATGTTACTGTAAGAATCTGATTGTTTCAAAACGTCAGTATCCCGGGGTCAGTATCTAATCTTTACTTCACCAATAGGAAGGGTCAGAAGAACCATATACACTGCAGATCTAAAATTAAAAACACAATTTACAGATCACAATAAACCACAAATACTATGATGGTATAAATTTGCAAGTGACAGTCGCGTTCATTATCAAAATTTTATTTTTGAGATTTGATTGATGCACAATCCAACTGAATCACAGAAGGCTAAGATCGACTTCCAACAACAGGCTTTCAAGTAAAACAGAACTTTTTCAAATGGTCAACAAAAATATGAAATATAAGCTTAGTAGTTCATAAAATATCGTATAGTCTACATGTGCTGCTTAGGTTGGATAAAGGATATATTTGATCAGGAGCGAGTTGCAAAGTACAAAAAAAGAATTCACATTTTATTTTATGAAAAATATTGGAAGGTGTTCTATAAAATTTTGGATACGTTTTAAGTTTTTGAGAGTCGAACACATTGTACATGAAGTCAAAAGAATATATTTCCAAGATAAAACACTAATAGTTTTTAAATCTTCGCTTAAATACGTACACGAGTAGGGAAATGTGGAGATAATCGTAAAATATTGACCTCTGATTTTTTTCAGAAAATCCTTACCTCCTTTTGAAGAGCTGATCTTTAAACTGGAGGAACGAAAATACTAATTGAGCGAGCGAACGCAAAAAGTTTGAAACATACTTCAAATAACTATTCATCTCCATGTACCAACATATATTTATATGAAAATAATTAAACAATTGTATTGGATACATTTATGAAGTTGCAATGGCTAATGATATCGTAATGAGACAAAAACCTCGATGACTTATCGATCATCTACTCAAACAGGGATGGTTGTAAATCTTTGAACTTGAATTCAAAAGTGCTTCCCAGTTCACTGGTATATGTACTGCTGAGTCCGGGAGCTGAATCTGGTGAGTACTTAAAGGAGTGAAACCCCTAGGGACCAGAAGATGTCAGACATATGATAACGTCCCATACCAACTTCCACATGCTATCTATTGCAAGACTTACGCCTGCCACAACCGTCGCCATGTTAATCAGTGTTTTTTAAGTAGCGCAAGGATCCTACCATGACCGTGGTAGTGTTATCGTGTAAGCCTGGTATAACCGTGACAGGCTGGTATAACCGTGACAATGCTGTATTCTATTGCAAGGCCTGTCATGACCCTGGAAGTGTTATCGTGGAAGCCTGGCGCGACCGTAGCCTTTATTGTGGTTTATAAGAGAATGTGAATATTAATGTATAGTAGTAATTTTGATTTTGACATGATTAAGGTAGTTAAACACCATGATCATAGTATTAAACTGTTTAATTGTAATGAGGATCACTTAAAATTGTTAAGGATATTCCTGGCATTAATGTCATACATGTTTACTAGTCATTGCAATACATTATAGTCATAGTAGAACTAAGCCTAAATCTCTACATTACCACCCTCATACCTGGCCTTGCAATACTATATTACATTGTCACGGTCATACCAGGCTTTGCGATCCCATAATACATTGTCATGGTCATGCCAGGTTTTCAAATACACATTGTCACGGTCAATTATAGCAATCATAAATTTCTACATTACCACTCTTATACCCGAACTTGGAATACTATATCACATTGCCATTGCGGCCATACCAAGCCTTGCAATACTATATTACATTGCCATGGTCATGCCAGGCTTTGCAATACACATTGTCACGGTTATAGCAGTCCTAATCGTAAATTTCTACATTACCACTCTCAAACCTGAACTTGCAATTTACATTGTCACGGTCATGCCAGGCCTTGCAGTACTATATTACATTGTTACGATCATACCAAGCCTTGCAATACTATATTACATTGTCACGGTCATGCCAGGCCTTGCAGTACTATATTACATTGTTACGGTCATACCAAGCCTTGCAGAACTATATTACATTGTCACGGTCATGGCAGGCATTGCAATATAATACAGCATTGTCGCGGTTATACCAGGCTTTCATGATAACATTACCACGGTCATGGCAGGATCCTTGCGCTACTTAAAAAACACTGAATAACATGGTGACGGTTACGCCAGACGTTAGTCTTGCAACAGATAGGGTCTCCCAACTTCGTTACACTCTGTAGTATGGACTATATTACAGTTTAATAGCCCTGACCCCCGGGGGGTTCACTGTATATAAAACTCGACGGGGGTCCTAGGCTGAAGCCTCAAATATCAATATGTTCCCATACCAATCTGTCAAATTTCAATATGTTCCCATACCAACCAAAATAATGCCCAAAGGCCATACCAAATGTCCAAGTATAGGACCAATGCCATACCAAATGTCCAAATATAGGAACAATGCCATACCAAATACCCAATTATGGGACCAATGCCATACCAAATGTCAAAATGTAGGACCAATGCCGTACCAAATGTCCAAATATGGGACCAAGGGCTAAAATTCAAAAGTTGAAGAAGGCCCTGGAAAAGAAGATACTTCGGGAAACGATCCAAAACAACTTCAAATTTGCAACTACTGGACCAATGCCATACCACGAATGTTAGGTAACGTATCTACAACGACCATTCTCATACCAGAAGAGTAAAAGTCCGACCATTGCCATACCTCAGAAGTCAGAAATTTCCGGGCATTCCCATACCAAATCCTAAAATATGGGTCCATTGCCATACCAAACGTTGAAAAAGGTACCCCACATGCGCCGAGGATCCCCGTCAAGGTTTATATATAGTGAACCCCCCGGGCCCTGACCCCACAAACTATGTTCGTGGCAGCCTGGGTCATAACTCATTTCAAACCTATCGCACTGATTTTTTCTCGAGCTGGAAGGAACACATGCTAAATGCATGCTCATTAACTTTGAGATGACGTCATAGGAAATAACTATATATAGAAAGTTGTCCATATTTCGACGACAAGCTTTGAATGGCTCGGTGAGTTCATGAAGGTTTATTGTAAACTGAAAGAGTGAAGACAAAGCTCTCTTTTAATAAGCAAACTTGAACAAATGCAAAGGGTAACTTTTCACCAGTTAGCTTTTGAATACCACCATGGATACCACACATCATTTTGATGTTTAAGTCGCTGCTTGCAAATTCCTTAAACATTTCTTTATCTTGATGTGAAATAACAAGCTATGATGTTGGTTAACACATCAGCTTTCAACAGACTCTCTTGAAAGCCCATGATTAACACGATATATAAACATATCTATTATTCATTTATTAGCGTTTTTAGAAAATTTTGAAACCGCCATTTAATGACATCATTTGTCTGTCGATTTAACCAATCAACGACAATGTCATCTCAATACATATTTACATTATAGACGTACATCATCACTGAACCCTGTGGTTTTACCCCCGATCTTGTACTGCTGCATATGTTGATATAATGTATGTATGTAACTGGGGAGATTAAATTGTTGAAGGCAGAAGAGCCATATGTCATTTTGCTGCGGGAAGTACGAGTCTCTAACATGAGTGCGGCAATTCAATATGTTGCAATAATACAGGGTGTTCCATATGTTTCAGGAATGATGCTGTGTTTTATTGCTTTTCTTTACAATCTTACTGAATTTTTGACACAATGCGTCTAAACATGTTTTGAATAAGTTGGGAAAGTTTCAAATCGTGAAGTTCAGTAGTCTTAATTATATGGTTGCTATAGTAACCTAGGGGTAGGGTAGGTGGAGCAGGTGTAACAACGAGCAAAATATATGAAAAAATGGTTAAAAATAGTTTTTTTTGTACGAAGTGTGACTAAGTATTAGGTTATCAGAGTTGGATCAAACTTGTCAGTAATTAAACAAAAATGAAGGTGGATTCCAAGAAAGTAAAAAAATGTCACCACCCTTGATCACATCACAATTTAAACACCTGTCATGTCATGAGTCACAAAGGAGAATAAACAAAGGTAATTTTGGACGAGCGGCCATTTTGAAAAGTGAAAAAGTCATAGCAAAGGAAAACCTTCGACTTAGGCAACATACAACAATCTGTGACAAGAATTGACATGTGTGAATAACAGTTTTCTGCAGCAGACACAATTAAACTCCTAACGAAACCACATGGGGACTCAATGATGGTAACCTCTAGAGTGTATGAGTGGTACAAGTGGTTCAAATCTGGAAGGGAAACTGAGACCAATTATCCAAAATGTGGACATTCGAGAACAGTGAGAGCGCTAACTAATGCGGAAGGGATAGATGCTGAAAAAATGATGATGGCTAAATTTTTAATTTCCAGGAATCCACCTTTATTCTTTTTAATTTCCAACAAGTTTGATGCGACTATGACATGTATGACAAATTAATACTTTGAACACTTGATGGATTTATTTCAAATTTTTACACATGTTACATGCTTGGAAGTTCCAGAGCTAATTAACTTTTCAGCAGCCATCTTGCATTCTGGTGGCCATTTTGGAAGTTTTTAGATAAATTCTATCATCGCGATTCTGGGAAAACGACTGAAGGGATTCACTTCAAATTTTTACACATGTTACATCGGTAAGACTGATTAACTTTTTGGTGGCCATCTTGCATTCTAGTGGCCATTTTGGAAGTTTTTAGATAAATCTTGTCATCACGATTCCATGAAAACCACTTAACGGATTGGAAGTTCAACAGCTGATTAACTTTTCGGTGGCCAGCTTGCTTTCTGGGTGCACCCAGCCCACACTGCTATTTTTTAGGTATGATATTATTCACCCTGTGCCTTGTTGTTATATTCAAAGTGAAACATTTGTTTGATCTATTTTTAACGTTAAGGAAATTTGTATGTTCAGAAATGGCATGTGCATTTGAGATCAGAATTAATCTAAGATCATGAGCATATTGGCTTGGAAATTTGATCTTGCATGACTAAAACCAGATTCCATCTCTTAATGCTCTTCATGCCTCTTAAATGTATTGTTTTGGGATGTTTTAAATTCAAAATATTATTTACCAAAAATTTACAAATTCTCTCAAGGTTTCAGATTCTGAATTTGGTCAATATATTGGCAAAAATTAGGTCATTTTTTGAAAATTATATTATCATACTTGTATTTTTACATTTCCA